GGAAATAGTTGGAGACCTTGACCCGCAAAGGCTGGATCCGGCCCAGCACATTTGAGTTTGGGGCACCAGTCCTCTTTGTTCTGAAGGGGAATGGTGAGTTTAGGATGTGCGTGGACTACAGAGGTCTCAACAAAATCACGAGGAAGTCTACAGAGCCTCTTCCTCGTATTGATGATATGTTGGATGTGGTGCAGGGTTGTACCATTTTTAGCAAGATCGATCTCAAATGTGGCTACCACCAGATTGAGATGGTTGAAGGCGGTGTCCACATGACAGCCTTCAAGACCAGGTATGGTACTTATGAATACATGGTCATGCCATTTGGTCTTTGCAATGCCCCAGGCACCTTCCAGACAGAGATACATCGCATACTCAAGCCTTACCTGGACAGGTTCGTAGTTGTCTATTTGGATGACATCGTGGTATTCAGTCGTTCTGTCCAAGAGCATGCGCAACATCTGGCTCTGGTCCTCCTGGCCTTACGTGATAACCAGTATAAGATCAACAGGGAGAAATCCTCTTTTGGAGTTCCCTCTGTAATCTATTTGGGACATGTCATTTTTGAAGAGGGGTTAGCTCCTGAGGCAACGGAAGTTGCTGCTGTTCAGGATTGGCCGAAGCCTGTTAACATTCGTGATGTCCGGTCTTTTTTAGGTCTTGCGTCCTACTACAGGAAGTTCATTAAGAACTCCTCCTCTATTGCAGCACCCCTGACTGACCTTGCAAAGAAAGACACTTCCTTTCTTTGGACATCAGAGTGCCAGGAGACTTTTACACGTTTCAAGGAGGCCTTGATTCGTGCCCCTGTTTTGAAGTTACCTGACCCTACTCTGCTTTTGTGCTTACCACTGATGCTAGTCAGTATGGTGTAGGGGCAGTACTTCAACAGGATGATGGGAATGCATGGACTTTTGTGGTGACCGTTCTTCCTTCATTTTGGCCTGCAAGCGACATGCTATATTCGGGGGTGTATGGTGGGCATGCTCAATGTCAGCCGTCAATTGTTGCACTGAGAATGATTAGCTAGGTCTTTGATGTGTTCAACCACCTCATCCTTACAATGTGTGTCCTCTCTGTCGTCAAGGACAGACTCATTTTTGGGCCTTTTCTTATCCTCTTTTGCCTTCATCTTCACTCCACACTCCATATATTTTCCCTTACTTTTCCTTTATCGTTTTTTGTGTCTCTGCTCTTCATCTCTCCTCCCTGTGTTTATCCGCTCCCCCTTCACTCTGCCTCTTTCTCACAGCGTACAAGTGGGTTGTTATGGCACACGGGGATGGGGGCAGCTCGCACTCAACTTCATCAACATGGCGAGCCTTGTACGTGAGAGGCACGGTGAAGGGGGAGTCAAAAGAAGAATGAGAAAAGTAAATGGTTTAGTGTGCCCTTCATGTTTGTCGTGTTTTTTTAATTTCTTATTTTTGTCGTTTGTTTCGTAAAGTGCGCTCTTTTAGTTCATAGTTATGCGATAATATATATACATGATTTAAAAATCATTTAATAGCTGGGTGAGGACGCCGCCCAGCCGGTTGGGCTTGGGGGGGGCGCCCGGGTAAACCCGGCGGGCCAAAAAAACGCCCAGAAATTTTTCTTTTTTTTTTTGAAAATGGGGTCGTTCTGCGCTCGGCGAGAGGATCCCGAATCCGCAATAAAATTTTGGTTTTGGGGGGTGGATGATGGAGGATGGCGAGATGCGATGGATGGAGGGATGGATGGAGAAAGCCAGGGAGGGAGTAGGGAAGGAGGGGAAGAAGAAGATGAGGAGAGAAGAAGACCTAACGAATGGAGCAGAAGAAGAAGAAGAAGAAGAAGAAGAAGAAGAAGAAGAAGAGGGTGAGGAGGGGAAGAAGAAGAAGAGAGGACGATGAGGAGAGAAGAAGGAGAAGATGAAGAAGATGAGCGGAGGAGGGGGAGGAGGATGGCCTCCATTTTTATTTATTTTTTAACCTGTCGTGTATCACGTGACCTACCGAGTGTCGACGAACTAGAAGAAGAAGAAGGAGAAGAAGAAGAAGAAGAAGAAGAAGAAGAGGAGGAGGAGAAAGAAAACGAGTGGGGAAGACTAGGAAGATGAGAGAAGAAGAAGAAGATGAGCCGAAGAAGAAGAAGAAGAAGTAGAAGATGAGCCGAGAAGTTTAGGTGGATGGCCTGTCGTATCTCACATGACCTGCCGAATGAAGAAGAAGAAGAAGAAGAAGATGGGTGTGGCGGTAGGGTATGTCGGCGGTAGGGTATGGAGGTAGGGTATGGCACCAGTAGGGTATGGTTGTAGGGTATGGTGGCGGTAGGATATGGCAGTACGGTATGGCGG